CTCAGTCTACACTCATGCAGCATGAGCGGGGAGAAAACCGTGATGACAGCCCTCTTCCACAAAATCCCACCAGCAGGATATTTGCTTTCCCTATCTCCTCTGCTAACTCCTCCCACTGCTTATTAAATGAGCTGCAATGAATTTTAACAGAATGGCATAACCACCCCATTGTTTCCTATGGTGAGACTACATTTTCTCAGTCTACAATTTTCCAGGTTTTCTGATGACCAAATTCTTTTTGTTTCTCAACTGCTATGAAAAGCTTTGCAGATTAAAACCTTACATTTTCCCCCAAAGTTTACACAATGAAGTAAAATGGTATTTTGCATGATGCATCTGCCAAAATATGAACCCATGGACAAGAGATGCACTAAGTGCTCTGGTGTCACACACCCTGGTCTGTGACAGTTATCACTTAAGCATGATCAATCTAGTACAAATACACAAACACCAGAAAACAGTTGAACTTTATTTCCATCCTTGATATTCCATCCCCAAGAGTGAGGACTCTTCAACATATAAGAGAGAGCAAAAAATAGTGGCACAAAGTTGATTTCATTATGATCCTCATGTTCATTTAAGAATTTGCTCTGAAGGAAACTACTTCTGAATCCCTCCAGAACTCTCCAGCAGCTGACTGTCTTATGACATACAGGTTAAAAACAAGTTGTGTTATCACTAACGCATGAACTGTCATTAGTGTCGCTAACTATCATTCCATGTCTTATCCAATGCTATTGTTTCTTCAGGGATGATAACTTTTTCTAAAGTTTCCCACAACCACGCAACTTCAACCGCACTTCTTCAAATGCTTGTAGTTTCTATTTTTACTTCAGAAGTCTGCATTTATACCCCAATGGTGCGTACCATGGAGCTTCCAACTAAATCCACGTATAATTGTTCTGCACAACTGGCAGCACCTTCTACATAAATAATGGATTTTTGTACATTTGCCACTTTGAAAACTGTTACTTATCAGCTAAAACCCACAGTAATTTTGCAGAAGAAGCCCATGTTCAAAAAATGAAGGGTCGGGTATTGATATAAATGCAAAGATAATTGTCTGATACTGATTGTTCGCAAGAAGTTGGAATTTTGAACAGAACATAGAATCACATTATAGTTGGAGATGGAAGGGACCCTGAAGATCACCTAGTTTCACCGCACCACCCTTGCCATGGGCAGGGACACCTTCCACTAGACCAGGTTGCTCAAAGCCTCATCCAGCCTGGCCTTGAACACTTCCAGGGGTGGGGCATATATGCCCACAATAAATTGACACATTTTCTCAGTGAAGATCTATGTCAAGGGAGCACTTAGTGCCCACTTCAATCTACCAGGAATTGGATTTCAAGACCAATGAATGACAGAACTTGGATTTAATACTGCTGAAACACAGAAAGTAAACTTAGGATTTGAGATCCCACTAGTGATATGCTGCATACCAAATAATGGAATTAAAATCTTTCACCAGACTGAGAATGGAAACTGGGAAGCATACAGCATAAGATTTCAGATGGTTTACATAATTAATACAGGAGATATCCCAATTACGAGGCCATGGTTATAGTGATCACCTAAAACTTACTGTAGTATTTTAAAGTGTTCAAGTAGTATAAGAATGGAGCAGATTATATATCATTAGCAGAGGCAAAAACTGTAAAGCTTTTAAAGTGCCACTGCCCTAAATACCCTGGCTGGGATTCACTACACTTAACAAGCATTTAAATGTTACAGATTTACTTTTAAGTCATATACCTACTGTCTTAGTCTAGTCAATGAACAGAGACTATTTTCTAAGTAAGCTGATTCACCCATCTGTATTACATAGCTGCCCACAGATGGATGAACTGATGACTCTAACCGCTCTTGTTTCAAAAACCAGTACCAAATCCAAAGACTGAAATAATTTTCCCACTTTCTGACACTGAGTAGCTAAGGTATTACAGTAACAAAAACCAATTTCTCTGATAACGTTTTTATGCTCAGAGCACAGGAATACTGAATACTGTACATACACATAATTTTCATTACCTTCATAAAAATAAGTTTATGCTAAAAAAAATTAATATGAACATTCCAAAATAAGAAATTCCGCTATCATATATTTATCTGATAAAACAATACTCAGTAGAACCAAATGCCTAACTGAGATTCTTGGCTTTGACACTGTCACTGGGACTCTCTGCATTTCCTGC